TTACCTTTTTTGGGCTCTCTCGGGTTGGTTCTCGCAGCTCTCTTGGACTGTTCTTGGAGCCTCGTCGGGATCATTTTTGGGGCCTCTCAACGATCAGGGGTGTGTTGGGGGCCTCTGGGTGGTCCCTGAGGCCTCTCGGAGGTCCCTGGAAGCCTCCTGCTCCCGCTCTTGGGCCCATCTTGGGCCTGTTCTCGGGTGGTCTGGGGCTGTCCTGGGCGCCTCCTCGGCAGTCTTGGAGCTTTCTTGGCCCGTCCGTCTTGGGGCCGTCCTGAGGGTCTCTTGGGTGGTCTTGGGGCGGTCTTGGGAGCCTCTTCGGCGCTCTTGGACCATTGGAAGCTCGAAAACGCGAGAAACCAAACACATGGAACAAAATACATGAACATCTACGATTTTGGCCTCTTCGGGCCGTCCTGGGACGCCTCTCGGACCTCTCTTGGAGCCTCTTGGAGGTTATCAGGGAGCCTCGAGAACCATCGGAAAAGGTAACTTGGGCTGCTTGGGAGCGTCTTGGACCATCCTTTCGCATTTTGGGGGCTCCTAGGAGGCGTCTTGGGCCCTCCTGGAGCGCTGTAGAGACTCTCCGGAAAGCCGGGGGAGCGGTACCGGGAGCGTTCCCGAGATGTGGCTGGGAGGTGTGGGGTCCGAGGCCGGGGGGGGCGGTATACTTTTATAGTATTAATTATTAATGAAGTACTCACTGCGTGGAGTTTCCCATATGTGCATGTCATGTTTTATGTCATGCCTTAGTGAGCGTCTGTTGAGCGCTTGATTGTAATAGCGCGTCCACATGGGCGACAGGGCCGACGAAGACGAGTGAATCCTAGTGCGAATGAGTGAATATGAATCACAATGAGCTTTGAGTATGATTGAATATGAGCCTCCGATTCATTCCCCCTCCTCAGCTGCCAGGCCTGTCCATGATGATTGTTTGCTCCACGAGCGCGTCCATGTGAGTGGCGAGCGCACGTGCGCGCAGCGCGACCAGCACGCATCCTCCCTCATCTCCTTCCTCCGTGCGTCCCAGAGGGTACGTGCCGGAGCACGACCCAAGGGAGCAGCACGCCTCGACTCCTTCCTCCGTGCGTCCCAGAAGGTACGTGCCGGAGCACGACCCAAGGGAGCAGCACGCCTCGACTCCTTCCTCCGTGCGTCCCAGAAGGTACGTGCCGGAGCACGACCGAATGGACCAGCACGCCTCGACTCCTTCCTCCGTGCGTCCCAGAGGGTACGTGCCGGAGCACGACGCAAGGGACCAGCACGCCTCGACTCCTTCCTCCTTGCGTCCCAGAGGGTACGTGCCGGAGCACGACGCAAGGGAGCAGCACGCCTCATCTCCTTCCTCGCATCATGAAAACGAGCAAACCGCCTGAGACATCCCCGCAAAATGGCCGCGAACGGGCCCGTAGCGGCTCTCTTTAGAGATGCTGAAACCAGCGCCCCGCCTGAGACATCCTCAGAATCTGCTCTGAAAACCAAGGATGTTGGGCATGAGAATGAGCAAACCGCCTGAGACGTCCCCGCAAACTGGCCGCGAACGGGCCCGTGAAAACACCCCTGGCGGCTCCCCTTTGGGGTGCTGAAGCCAGCGCCCCGCCTGATACATCCTCAGAATCTGCTCTGAAAGCAAAGGATGTTGGGCATGGAAAAGCAAACCGCCTGAAACATCCCCACAAACTGGCCGCGAACGGGCCTGTGAAAATACCCCTGGCGGCCCCCCTTAAGGGTGCTGAAACCAGCGCCCCGCCTGAGACATCCTCACAATCTGCTCTGAAAGCAAAGGATGTTGGGCATGAAAACGAACAAACCGCTTGAGACATCCCCACAAACTGGCCGCGAACGGGCCCGTGAAAACACTCCTGGCGGCTCCCCTTAGGGGTGCTGAAACCAGCGCCCCGCCTGAGACATCTTCAACATCTGCTCTGAAAGCAAAGGATGTTGGGCATGAAAACGAGCAAACCGCCTGAGACATCCCCACAAACTGGCCGCGAACGGGCCCGTGAAAACACCCCTGGCGGCTCCCCTTGCGAGTCTGAATATGACTAGGTCTGAGTATGAGTAGGTCTCAGTCCGTGCGTTGAGTAACTCAGACTATGTGAAGGTCTGAATGTGTGTAGGTCTGAATATGAGTAAATCGGTGTATGAGCAGGTCTGGGAACGAGTCTGGGTATGAGTAAGTCTGGGTATGAAGGAGTCCCAGCATGAGTAAGTCTGAATATCAATGGGCCTGCATGTTGTGTGTTGAGTAAATCAGACCATGAGAAGGTATGAGTATGAGTAGGTCAGAGTATGAATAATTCTGTGTATGAGTAGGTGTGTTCTCTCTGGAGTCGGCGGCGTCCGACTAATAACAAGAACCCCATCTGAGGATACGGGGAGCAAAAAACTAAAATCAGGCGCTCGGTTCGCGCGCGCTCAGGTTCTAGCAAACTCCAGTCCTTTGTCGGGCCGCTCTTGTCGCTCTTTCGTGCCCCTGGAGCGGCCGCAGGAAAGCCTGGCGGAGTTTGCACGTAGTGCGTTTGTGGGCTTATGCCGTCGCGTGCCGCCCTGCATTCGTAGAAAAAGATGCAGTGGTTGCACCCTCCTCTTCCTCATCCTCCTCATCGTCCTCCGCCTCATCCTCCTTCTCCTCCTCCCCTCCTCTTTCTCGTCCCCGTCATCACTCATCCGACTCGTCGTCCTCCTCCGTCTCATCAGTACCCTCCCCCTCCTCCTCCTCCTCCTGCTCCTCCTGCTCCTCCTCCTCCTACTCCTCCTCCTCCTCTCCCTCTTTGATCTCGTCCCCCTCGTGTTTGTGCTGATCCCTTTGCTCCAGCTCTTCCAGCTGTTGCAGCTCCTCTTCCTCTTCCTCCTCCCCCTCCTCATCATCATGATCAGCATCATCATGATCCCTATCCTTATCAACACACTCGTTATGACATCGGTTTGTCTTCTTCGTCCTGTTCCGCCACCACAGCTTCCACTCCTTCGCCTGCTCCTTCATCATTGATTCGCGTGGGCCGGCCTGGGGCCATCTCTGGGTGCTTTGTGAACCCTTTATGACCCCAAGCGGTCCCTCTTACCCAATATGTGGTAACGTTGAGCCCTCTCACGCTCTCTTGTGGGTTCACTTGGGATGCCATAGGCGACTGGGGCCCTCATAGGCCGCCTTGGGTCCCGGGAGGTCTCCCAGCGCTCTCTGGGGTCTGCTACGGGGCCTGGGAATGGAGTCGGGAAGGCCGTCGGGGCAGTCGGGTAGGGTGACGGGGAGGAATCAAGTTCTCTGGCAATGTATTTGCATGTCCACGAATCGCTGCAGCGATTGCAGCATCAGGACCGATCATTCTCTCACCTGTCGAGCGTGCCTCCTCCAGACAACATGACCCTCACCAAGACGATGGACCAACGCGTGAAGCCAGTAGACGACGATGGACCTCCTCCCCCTCCTCCTCCTCCTCTTCCTTCCAACGGCGACGATGGCAGCGACGGCGATGACGGCGGCGACGGCGACGAGGACCCATCGACACTCGGGCTGCGGGCTGCCCCTGGGGGCGTGGACCAATATTGGCCAAACTTTTATGCGCAAAAGGGCTCTCGCGCCACGCTCTGCCTTTCCGGAGGGCGCAGGCCGGAAGGAAACGGCGAGGGGGGTGCCACGCCACTGAGGCTGTGGGCAGGAGCCCCGCGCAGGGCAAGACCGCCATGCGGGGAGGAAAAGGTGTCGTGCGATCATTACAGAAGGCCCACTCTGGTGATCAAGCGCCGACAAAGTGCAAGCGCCGCCACGGGATGTTTGGCGGAGCCCTAGGGCTTCGCCTTGCTTTCGGACAGGAGCGCATCTTCAAAGACTGAGGCCAACTTTCCTGTGGTGACGCTGCGATGCCACCATACTGACACAAACGTCTTGACGGCGTCCGCCGTAGTGGTAGCGAGATGATCTCTCTGAGGGGCCCCGCGAGGAGGAAGCTGGAGGAGTGCGAGGGGGAATCTTGGGGCTCTCCCCTTCTGGCCAGGGGGGGCGATGCGCCCCGATGCCCCGCACGCGCAGCGGATGCCTGGTCCAACGCTTCCCGCGCCCAGCTGGTGTGGATGAAGACGATGCTGTCGATGTCGGTATAAAAGTGGGGGGGTCAGCAGCAGCAGTGGCAGCGCAGGGCCACCGGGCACGGCGCGAAGCCGAGGATGCTGCTGCTGCTGCTGAGGAGGAGGAGGATGAGGAGGAGGAAGCGGTTACAGAAGCTTGTGGGTCCGATATATATATATATATATATATATATATATATATAATGTGCTTAACTGTGTGTATGTATTTAATTCCATTCAGATCGGTACATCTGTATATGTTTACATATCTATATATATATATATATAGATACATGTGTGTATATATATATATATACACATATTTATTTATTTATATATATATGTATGTGTGTGTGTGTGGGGGGTGTCACACCTTCTGGGCGCGCGCGGAAAGGCGCTGTTCTCTGTTTTCCTTGTCCTCCGGCCTCTGCCCGCTCTGGCCAGGAAGATACCGCGCGGCTCGCCGCCGAGCAAACATTCTGGCCTGGCCGAATGAAGGGATGCTGATATCTCTTCTGGACGACTTTGCTGTGGTCTTCTGGCATTTGTGTTTGTATGGTCACGCCGAGATCTGCCACACGACCACTTGGGGCGACTCCGGCAGCTTGGCTGGGCATCCGTCGAGTCACCAGGGCGGTGAAGGTGAAGGCACGCGTGAAGAGATCCGAGAAGCTCAGCCGAACTCGCTGCTCTCCGCGTCTGCAGTGCGGGGTCAGGTCGGATCGTGACTCTGCGTCCAGGCCTGCGGGGATGAACTGGGCGGGTCGTCCAATGGCCCCCTTCCTACGCGCTGTGTGCATCCAGGTGGAGGAAGGGGGGGAAACGAGGCGGCGGGGGAGATGGATGAGGGGGAGGAAGAGCATGAACGACATAAAGAAGATGCGGAGGATAATGAGGAGGATGAACAGCGCGATGCGGTAACGCGCGCTCATGCGCGCCACCTGACGGGGGCGCCCCTCCATGGAACTGCTGGTCGATCATGTCGCGCATGCCGGACATGGTCATGTCCTTGGTCGCCGCTCCTCTCCTGCTCCTCCTCCTCATCCTCCAGCGTTCTTTTTCTCCGTCCTCCTCTTCTCCCTCCTCCTCCTCCTCCAATTCTTTGGAGGAGTATGAGCCTCCCAAATGGGGTCCGCGATCCTTTGCCCCGCATCGCCGAGGCGTCGCCCATACATCGGCTCGGAGACAAAATCGGTCTCCACATCGAGCCGTATCGCCAATGCATCGTCGATGCCGCGCGATCCTCCGACCCATCTACTCTGAACCCATATGGGAGGCCTGGAGGGAGGGAAGAAGGGACGATGATGAGGAGGACGGCGAATTTTTGTTTTTGCCCCACCCCCTTATCGCAACGTAACACACATTGTCAGCTCCGTGTCCGTGAAGCTAGGCGCCGAGCAGTGCACATGCATGAGAGAGGCGGGGCGGCAGCGGCGGGGGCGGCGGCGAAGGTACTCGGTCGACCATCTTCGGGACTCCGTGTCGCGTGAGCGACAGGAGAGGGAAGGGAACGCCCACATCCGAGACGCGAGTGGCCACGAGGAGGAGGAAGGCACTACAAGCAATACTCGGCTTACTACTTGTAAATGAACGCAGACACCAGAGGACAACCGCGAAGGCGCCTACGCCCCCTGCGTACTCTGGGCCCACCTACCCGCCTACTTTTACCGAGCCGACAAACACATATATATATATATATATGTATATATATATATGCATACATATGTATATTACCCAGACTGTACATCAATACATCTAAGCCGGGCTCACATGGTACAATCATGCACATTATCTGCTCAGATGCAACCTGCTTATATACCCGCTACATACAACATGTCCGGTGCGAACTACCATCGCATTGAGGACGATGCTCTCGTATAACAACTACTACTAGCTGAAGCAAGGATCTGGCTACGCGACCTACCGTGCATGGATACAGCTCGTGACAAAGGTTTCCCAAGGAGATGATGACAGACAGTACTTAAATATCAACGACATCAAAGCTGCACAGCGTCACCACTTCAAAGACCTCGACGACAAGCGTATTGACGTATACAAATCCACATGAATCGAGGGCACATGTGAGCTTACCGTTGATGATCGCCCCCAACGACCACACAATGGACAAGATCCACCACAACCCTTGTGGGATGGTTACTGGCATGCTACCAACAACTACATTCTGGTGGAAACTCACTCACCCATACGACACGGCAATGTGGTTTGATTGCTTCAGGCCATGGGCCCCTGATGGGGAGGACTACGTCACGCTGGACATCGGCACATCAACACCTACTATTAGCATGCTCAAGAAGGCGATCGTGAGTAAACTATTTAGCCAGCAATGCAACCTGACTGCAGACCAGTTACCCATATGAAAGTCTGCTTCAGGAGCTACGCCGAGTGCGATTTGGTAAAAGAACTTGAACTACAACCATCATTCGTACTTCGTGGATTCGATCAATCAGCATGGGAAACCGATCGCACAGGAACGTTATGGGTCCAATGGCCTACTCTCCCCGACGGGTTCACACAACAAGCGCAGCCTGCATACGATTCTATGAGGATGTGTCAAGCGCGTGTGGGAGCACCCAAGAAGAGGACGAATACAATCTTACCTCATACACTTACTTCAGAATCATACGTTGGTGCGCCGTTACTGATACCAGGTGCAGCATCGCCGAAGACCTGGACCCTGGTGAGAAAGGGAAGGGACGAGGCCGTCGGCAAGCGCGTGTCCAGATCTCCAGTCAAGACGACAGCAAGATGAGGATACATTCGGATCAAGCTGGATCTGGAATCTCTGAGAACTGTCGGGTTCTTGAAGAAACATCGGGCGCCGCGGCCGTTCCCAAGAGTTCCAAATCGCTCTGAGAACGTTCCGGAACACTCTCCAGAGCGGCGTAGCCTGATCCTAGGGTTACCTGACGCGGGCAGGGGAACAGGACGTGGCCGTGGGAGCAAGCGAGCGTCCAGGCCCCCATCGCCTGGAACAACATCAGGACGGTGGGCTTCTCCGGGTTCTTGGCACGCGGAGGCCCGTCGCGAGCCCCCGTGGCCTGCGTAAAGCGGCCCACAGCGCGAAGTCCGCAGCTGGAGACGGACCTCAAGACGCCGGACGTCCAGGCGAGGCTATGGGCAGGATGACCGGGCGGCGGGGCAGCGGACGAGGCCGTGGGCAGAGCGGGGCCGTGTGCAGGAGGGCGTGGCTCGGCCAGAGCGGCAGTGTCGGCAGAGGTTGAGGTCGCCGTGGTCGCGACCGAGATGGACGGCCGAGCACGCAATGTTCGTGGGTGGGGGCGCGGGGGGGAGGCGCGCAAAGACTCGTCATCGAACAGCACCCGCAGTCCAGGGGCAACTGCTACTAAGAAACACTGTGTCAAGGACATTTGCAAAGACGCCGTCGACGAACTGACACTTGCCAAACAAGCTCTTCGGTGTAGCCGTCTATTCTATTCATGTGGTGGCACTCGCCGCGGCCGCTGTTCCCTCGGCTTTCCACCTTTTCCTCCCTCTCCCTCTCCTCCTGCTCCTGCTCCTCCTCCTCCTCCTCCTCCTCCTCCTCCTCCTCTCCCTCCAGTAGGAGCGGGCAGCACGGAGCACGGCTAGCGTCCAGGCTGCTCTGCGCGATGAGATCTTGGCGCCGCTGGCGGTCGCTCTTGTCCTGCTGGTTCCAGACCTGGTCCTCGCGTCGGGAGTCGTCGAGGCGCGGTCGGGCCCGGGGACGGGGGCAGTGCGGAGAAGAACCGATGATTGCGTGGGGGCGGGCAGGAGAGTCGCGAGGAACGCGAGGGAGGATTACAGTCGGGGTGGATCGGAGAGGACGCACGAGAGGACCCCAGAGGAATGCAGGAGGCATGGGTCGCGAAGCACAGGACACAAAGGTACCCTTGATCTGGCAGGGTCGACCCATTACTCAACCTCGACTGTAAGGTGAGGGGGGGGGGACTGTGGGCGGAGAGGGTAAGGAGCGGGAAGGGAGGGCGGGGGAGGGAGGGACGGGAGATCCCGAGCGTGACATCCCCGACAAGACTGTTAGACCGAGCCGGAGAAGAGAAGAGTTGCTCCTGCTCGCCCACGCCGCCGGTCCAGACTGGCCCGTCGCTGGCCTGGGCCGGCGGAGGAGGACGCGGGGGAGTGGGAGGAGGAAGGGGAGAAAGAGCAGGGGGAGGATTCGGAGGAGAAGCAGGAAGCAGGAGTATTCCAGGCAAGAGGAGGCTGAGGGTGGCATGGTGGTAACGAGGATGGCGATGGGGATGACCCAGCGTTCCACTGCGCGAGCTCTGAGCCCCAAGAGTCCCGTTGTAGGACAGCCGGGCAACAACTTACGGTGTAGATGGTGGTGGCGGTGATGATGGTGATCAGACCCACCTCGGGCACGCGCCAATGCTTTCGGATGGGGGAAGGGCGCGCGGCGACGGGAGCACCTCCGCCGCGCAGCGAGGTGGCTGCCTCGGGGGCCCCCGCGCGCCGCGCGGCACCGCCCGCGCACTGGCCAGCTCCGGCGACAGCGCCTGCCGCGCGGCGCCTCGGCCGCCCCCCCCCCCGAGGGCCCGCAGCCGGGAGCGTCGGCCGGAGCCTCCGCGGACGGGCGGCGGGGCCATCCCGCGCAGCCGCGGGCGTCCCGACCCCGCGGGCGACGCGGGGCTCCGGACGGCGGCGGGCCGCCAGCCGTTCTGAAGGGACCTCCGTGGCCCGCAGGCCCGGCCGCACGGGGGCCGCCCCGGACTCGGGGACTGGCGGCACCCTCTGGTGGCCGCCAACAGCCCCGCCGCTGCCGCGTTCCGCTTCCTCCTCCTCCTCCTCCTCCTCCTCCTCCTCCATTCGCTTTCGGGACCCCCCCCCCTCAATTGCACCCCCGGGCGTGTCGATGGGGCGGGCGGTGCGTTTCGCCTGAGACGTCCTCACCACTCATGCCTCTGAGGTTTGAACTTCGCACCAGGTGCGGGGGTGATGGATGGGCGAGGTCGAACTGGGGTACCCGCCTCTGCGCCGCGCGCATTCGTCGTAACACATGCCAGTCGTTTCAATGATGAAGCATTGGTCGCGCGTCTCTGTGAAAACGGGGCTATCGCTCCGGCGCCGCGCACGCTCGTCTTGAACACTTGCGGTAAGTACGGACCTGGAGAGCGGCTCCTTCTCAAGGCGCGGCTCTCGCCTCAGCGCCGCGCGCATTCGCTTGAAACGCTTGCAACAAGTACAATCATGAAAGACGGCTATTCTTCAAAATGGGGCAATCGGTTGGGATCTCACTATTGGCAGGCTGTGATGGACAAAAACGGACCGGGCGCGTGATTAAACGCATAGCCCCCCTGCTCGAGCAAATCGCGGCCATGGCGTCCGCCAAAAGGAAACGCATCACGGCAGAACCAGTGATGAGAGTCGACGAGCGGTTGCGGCTACGGGCTGGAAGGCGACAGGCGCGACGCGAACGATGCCACTTCGGCGGGGGGGCAGCATCGCCTCCGTTACAGCAGGGCGGTTGGGTCATAATGGCACAGATAGGAGAAGAGGAGACGGGAGGAAGGGGCGCACGACAGCTGGCGAGAGGGGCAATACGGCTACCCACAAGAAGAAGGAACACATTAATGATGATTATAATAAAAAAAAGAATAATACAAGGAATATCAATAAGAAAAATACTAATCATACGAAGAAGAAGAAGAAGAGTGATGCTAATAATAATGAGATTAATAATGATCAGAATCATACTGGTCGGGATAAAAAAGGAATGCGACCAGTCATGCTATGGATAAGAAGAACATTAATTAACTAAGAAGACGAATACTAATACCACTAATAATAATCAGAAGAAACAGCAGAAGCATACTACTAATACTATAAAAAAGAAGAAGAGCGAGGAGCGGCACGCGAAGGCGGCAGGGGCCGCTGCAGACCGCCCTTGACGACGACGCCGACGACGACGACGAATCGACGGACCGACCGACGACGACGGCAACGACGCACTGCGGCTGCCCGATGGGTTGGGGGTGGGGGGTTGTGCTGCGCAGGTCCGCTGTTTTCGATGACGACGGCGACAAGGTGACGACAAACGACCGACGACACCCGCTGCGGATGCCTCATGCGGATGCCTCATGCGGGTGGGGTGTTGTCGTCGTCGACGACGACGGCAACAGGGCGACGACGGACGAACGACGACTGCGGATGCCCCATGGGGTGGTGTGTGTGCTGGGAGGAGGAGGAGGCGGTCATTTGTTAATCACAAGACCACGTTAACCTTGAAGGCCAGACATGTCAACAATAACATCTGCGTGGATGGAGGGCAATTCTTTTTTCAACATGGGGCCTTGTCTGGAGATTTCCTCGACTTTCATGGCCGAAAGATTAGACCCTTGCAAGTGTTGCGCGAACCGTGAATTCCTGACTGCGCGCGAGAAGGATGCACGACTGCCCCTTTTCACCACGGTGCTGTCGCCTGGACAGCGGCCGCAAAAGGTGCCTCGTCTTCCGGAGTGGGGGGTCTTCCTGTAGTGAAGCGACAAGCTCGCGCGGAGCTGGGAGGGCACCTCGGCCGGGCGGGTGTGCTGCAGCATCGCTGATGCATCTTGGGGCTCGCTCTGGCCCCCCTCCTCCTCCTCGCGCCCTCCTGGGGCCATCCCCCGGATCCTTGGCGACGAACACGCCCTGGGGGCGCCCGCATGCGCCCCGGCCCCTTCGCCCGAGCGGCCGCCCGTGTGCGCTCCTGCCCGCGGAGACCCCAAGAGCAGCTGCTCTCGCTGCTCTGCGGCCTCGCCCGCGCCGTCGCGGCGGCCACTGGGGCGCAGCCCGCTCTTCGGGGGCGCAGCTCCTTCGGCTCGCCCTCGGCCTCCAGTCGCCGATCCCCTCCAAGGGGGCCCTCCAGGGGCTCCCCGTTCAGAGCGGGCGGGCCGAGCGCGGCGCGTTGCGCCGCGCGCCGCGGCCCTGCAATGATCCCGCTGCCGCCAGCGGCTCCAAGGCGGGTGTGCTCGCAGCTCAAGGGCACTGCCGCCCCCGTCTCCGCCGATCGACGGCGCGGTATCTACGTCGCCCTCGAGCTCCCGCCGTCCGTGGCCCTCCGTTTCTCCAACTTTGCTTGTTCCTGCGGTCCACGGCCGCGTCCTCCTCCTCCTACTGCCCCTCCAACATGGTGGCGCAATTTGCCCTGACGGCACCTCCGTTTAGGCCTTTCCGCTATGGCAGACTTCCCCTGCCTCGCCGCCGACGCAAAAAATTCCCGCGGTCCCAAGGGCCCGAGCTTCTCCCCCCAAGTTGTGCTTCGCGAGCTCCCTCGCTTGCTCCTTCGTCGAGGGCGTGGTTGAGGCCGTTGTGAGCAGTCGCCGCGAGCTGGATGGCATTGAGCTCGGCCTCGACGCTCTGACTCTGACCGAATAAAGTCTTTGGTGCCGTTGTCGCCCCGCGTCTCCGCCATGCGGCCGCCTCCGCGGCCGCGGGTTGCGTTGCTTGCCTCCGGCACGCTGGCGGCTGGCAACCAGAGTCCTTGGCCCCGTCCTCGTCCGCGTGCTGGATGCGCGGATGCGTTTTGTTCGGTGGGGAGGCAGGCCTGGACGTCCTCGACGTGCTCGGGCGCCTCTCCCGTGGCCGGGCCATGCCCGTGGGCCCCCACCCACCTGCGCGATTCCCAGCTGCGCGCATCTGCCAGGACGCTGCCCTCGCCACTCCCCTGCCCAGCCAGCGGAGACGCGCGTTCGAGACGGGCCGCCCCTTGTTGCAGAGGCCGTTGGCGGCGCGGCCCATCTAGATGCAGCGCAAGCACTCGCCCTGGTCGGACATCCAGTGCCCTCGGGTGCCTTCCTTCGCGCCCGACTCGTGGGTGTCCTCGGCGCGGCGAAGGACGGGCGCGTGGAAGGGCGGAGCCGCAAACAACGCTCTGACGGCCGCTGCGATCCCGCCGACCCCTTCGGCCCGTCCCGCGAATTCAGAATCGCGCTGCCTGGAGTGCTCGCCCGCTCGCGGCGATCCGCGGCGACCGCGGCGCCGCCGCGCCAGGGGCGAGCGATCCCGCCGAGAGCCCGAACGCGCCCGCGGGAGCTCGCGCCCGCGAGCCCCTGGCCGAGCCGCGGCATCGCCACGGCCCGCCGCCGCCTCTGAAGCCGTGCTGCCAGCCTCAGCGCCGGCGCGAACCCCCCGACCGCCAGCCCAGGCTCGAGACCTGCCAGGGCCTGTGCTGCCAGAGCGCCACCTGAGCTCCGATGGTGCCGCCTGGTGGCTCCCACGTGTGCTCGGGCGGCGGCTTGAGAATCGTGCGGCGTGTTGTTCGGCTGCCAGCTCGCGCTGCCCAGTGGGCGAGGTGCAGCGCGGCCTCCCGCGCGGGCGGCGCCGCCTCGAACGCCGTGGCCGCGCGCCGCCGCGCCCGGCCGCGGGCCTGCCGCCGCCTGGGCGCGGGCCGCCTGCGAGCACCGCGCGGCGGCGTCCCCCGCCGGGGACCGGCGCCGCGTGCCGGACCACGGCTCCGGCGCCCGCTTCGCCCCCCCGCGCGGCCAACAGCGCCGCGCAGTGAGTGGCCCTGCAGCTTGGACTCCTTCAGGGTCTTCAGCTTGGAAGCTTCGCCTTTGGCGGCTGGCCGCTATCTGGCAACTGCGGGGGAAGCGCGGGGCATGAGCAAGAGACGAGGGGGTCGGAAGGCGAACCCGGAAACTTCTTGAGGCGAAGGCCGAACATCTCAAACGAAACCTGAGAATCTGGGCGGTGACCTCCAAGCCTCCGACGCCATCAACGCCGCCGTCGGCGCAGACGCCGTCCTGGTCCGACCTGCTCGTCCCTGCTACCCTCTGCTTTGCCCTCGTATCTCTTTCCTACAGGGCAGATTTTAATACATAGGATTTTTTAAACATGTAGGATTTTTGATACATGATCAATTTGTGAATACATTTATGCGTGAACTCATCCTTGTTTTTAATACTAAATCCCTGCGTTTTTAATACGTGATCCGCACGCGGAGCATGTATTAAAAACGACACTGTACCTCCTCCTACGTCCACCAACCTCCTCCAGCTGCGCTCTGCCTCGCCCTGCCTCCGAGGGCGCCCGCCCGCCGCGAGAGACAGAGCGCCGGGGGGGGGAGGCCCCTCCCTGTAGCTACCCCCCCCTGTCGGACCCCCCCCCCTCTCGT